GGACCATCATTTTGACAACCACCCGTATGGTGAAGCCCAGCGTCAAGAAGCGTAGGCGCTGGTTCACACCCAGCAGTTTCTGCCCTGATCCTGTAGGGTACCTGAACAGTACCGAAAACCCCCCACAGGGCCGCTTCTCCAGGCAGGTCAGGAAAGATGCTGTTAGGTGGAAAATAGGGCCGTGCAACCCGAAACGGTGCAAGGTCATGTTCTCCACTACGCCGAGAGTACGACTATAGTAGACTACCGGGCGCATTTTGGCGAGTGAGCGATTCTGCAGGGTCCCGCGCGACATGAGGACCACCATGTTGTTGACAAGTATCTGTGCTCAGGGCTGCCTAGCCAGACATGGTCCTCGAGGATACACTCTGATCACTGTCATGAAACGGCACTGGGCTTGAGATGCGTCAAACTAAAGCCTGAAGCTTTGTTCAACAGTGCCCTATACTGAACATGGAACTAAACGAATTCCCACCAACTGAAGTCCTCCGAAAACAATCACCAACCACCCCAAGTCCACAGACTACAACATACACAGCACATCAAGCCCAAGCGAAGGGGCTCGCAGGGCAGCAGCTGGGACAAGCGCTGCGTCACTGCTGCCGCGACCTGCACTTGTCAGGGTGTGAGAATTTTCAGAAAATCAGAGGCCGGATTTCCTACAACTTGCGTATCAGTGATGGAGAACACAGTGTTTCTTCTACGTTATCGTCGATAACACGGGAAACAGACAACGACAACGACGACGTCCCCTAACACACAAACATAATGAGAATCATGATCACCACTGCGGTACCGGCACGTGGCCGCAGCATCGCCCATATCATCAATGTCACCACCACTTCTACCGACATCACAGGGGGCGTCGTCGACAAAAACAATGTATCGTCTGGTTGTTGCTGCTACGGTGCTGATAATGACCAACATCACCAGTATCAGCATTTCATTCCTTATCCTCGCCGCCGGTATCATCGAAACAAAGACAGGCGAGCATTAACGCCACAGTCAACTCAAAGCTTTCAAACACATTACCATCCGGATCATCATACTCATTGATCTTACCATGTTCTTCGTCAGCAGCAGCGAAGATGTCATTCTCGCAGTCGTACAATAAGACGCGCTAGTAGCCTAGTAGGAGCAGCACTAGCAGTCGTAGCCGGAGTTGTGGTAGTCGTAGTCGTCGTCGTCCTAGTAGTAGTGCAACTGTGTAGAGAGCAGGCATCGTTGTGGTGGCAGTGGCCGTCGTAGAACTGATGGCATCATTCGTAGTAACAAGAGTAAACAGCAGCAGTGTGCACAAGTGCAAAGGCAGTATACCAGCCGCGTGAGGTTTGGCTCAGACATGCCCGAAGGTAAAGTCAAACACGACACACATACATATGGATGGACAGGTAGAGACAGATATAGCATGACAAGCATGTAAAACTCAACCCACATCAGTGCTAAGCCTGCAAGCAGCCCCCCCCATCAGGCGCCTGGGGAGCGTCCAGCAGGCAGCGAAATGCGTAGCGAGCAAATGGGTTGAAGCCACGGGAACCTCGGAAGCTTCAGCCAAGCGAAAAAGCCCACTGCGCCTTAAGGAACATGACTTAAATTACACTGGGCTTAATGCAGACTTTAAAGAGCGTTTACCTGCGCCCTGATTTATGAAAAAGACCGTAAGCCCCTCATACTTTAAGGTACATGCTTTGACTAAGGCGCACTCTTGGGAAGACCTGCCGGGGCTTTCTCCAGAAGTCGTCTTCTTAACATATGGGGCTGTCATTAATTAGAATAGGGTTCGCATACAGGGATCTTACAAGGCAGCAAGTGGCCATTGAAGGATTACTATACTACTAAATTATAGTGGGACGGTTCTGTGACATAAGCGGCCTCAGGCATCAGAAGAGGGCTTTGGGTATACGATGCAAACAATATATTCAGGACTAGACTGACACATGGGCGTGTCATTTCCAGGTGTTCCGACACCCGTGTTGCAAGCAGCAGGCTATGTAGGTGTGCCCGACCCAAACCAGATGTATGCACCTAAGTCATAATCATAAGACAGAGAAAAGAGTCATACCTGATGGTATTCCGGGCTGCATGGGTGACTGTGTGCTTGGGAGGGGTCAGTATCCCGTCAAGCTTCAAGACCGGAGGGTGTTCAGCCCACGTGCGTGAAAGACAAACTTTAAGACTCCGCGTGACCTGCAATAGGTAATGTAGGGGCCTTAATAATTAGAATGGGGTTTTGGGGCCCATTGTACTATAATCCAACAATAAGGAACCCCACAATAGTATAGGTAATTACTACGGCCCCCATATTACTGTTCTAGAACGCATAGATCTTTGGGTTCATAAACCCATGCAAACACCATGGAAGCCCTTTAAACGACCTGGCAACTCCGAAACCCTAAAACCCAAATCTCGAAAACAAGAAAATCCTAACACTCCTACCCTCCTAGAACAACATCCTCTTAAAACTCCTGCCCTCCTCGAACAACATTCTCCTACAACTCCGACCCTACTAGTTCAACATCCAGAACCCCAAAACCTGTGATGTCGAGTGTCCTGCTAGGCCATAGCCTTCGGCCTCGGAGACCTCAATGAGCCTCTGGCACTCCTCCAGGGTTTAGGATTGGGGTTTTTTAAATAGGGTTTCAGGGTTTAGGGATTCAGGGTTTAAGGGTAAGTCTAAACGAGCTGTCGGACTTTTGGCGTGGTGGGTTCTGTTCTGTACGATTATAGAAGGGCGCGACAAAGGTTCTGCAGGTTTGACGGTTTCCTGATGCTACTGGTGCTACGGGTTCCGAAGTCTCGAGCTTTAACAGCTTCGCAATGCTTAAGGTCTAGGGCTTGAAGGCTTAAATACTTCCTAAGCTCGGAATCTAGAAGGGGTCGAAAGGCGAATGTCGGAAAAGGGCAAAACATATATAACTACACGACTATCCCTCTAAGTATGTGCCCCTTACCCTGTAATACCTACGATACACCCTATTTGTACCCTTAAAGGTCCGAAAAGCCCCCCTAAAAGGCGTAAGGGTGCAGGTTAGGGGCCCATACTTCGTAACCTTTCGCGACCAACCGCACTATGAAGCTCACTCCTATGCGACCGTTTTTTGTTGGGCCCTGGGCCCAGAACCAAAAGTTGCACGCCGCAGTGGCAAAATCTAATGTAAAAACCGGAACATATAAGTCAAGTATACACACCAAATTGCGTAAACAGCCGCGCGCAAGAAACAAGCTAAAGCAAACGAATCATACTGCAGCGTCCCGAAGGCGTGTACACCTGTACAACTAAAAATGCAGATCAGCACTGCCGATATGCACGAATATTTAACATACTGAATACTCCAGCATGAGGTCTAAGCAGAAACGAAGCGCAGGCAGCGGCAGGAACCGTCACACAAGCTGCTTAATCTGTATGCGATGTCGCGACCAGCAGTGGCGGCAGGACCATAACGCAGTGCTGTGCACATCAAACAGCTCGGGTGATCAACCAGGAGGCAAAGCCCCTAAACCTAAACTCTAAACCTCCAACCTTAAACCCTAAACAACCCTAAACCTTCAAGCGTAACGCCGGAGTGCAGTTCGGGCCCGAAAACAGCGGATCACAACAATGAGTTCCTGTCGCTGGGCGCCCTAGGGGTTGTTCGTCCACGTCTCTACTTCCTGTCCCCGGCTGCCGTTAGACTCCCAATGATGATCGTCTGTAAAAGTTGCGATGTCCGCAAGGTTTGCTGTCGTGGTTACCGCTGCGCCGTATATCCGGATACCTATGCAACTATTCGAATCACACAGTGCTTCGTATTAAACCCTTGTAGTAGCCCTGCTAAAGGCCTCTATAGACCATTTTGAAGAGAACCCCCGAGAAGCTTAATCTAGTTATCTCAAAAAACCTTATGTAAAATGCATGTTTGTTGCCGCGTCCTCTTTGCTCAGAAGGCCCGGCAACTGGCGGGCAAACTTCCCCCCAAAGATACCTTGTCTTCTCTTGTTGTGGCGTATTCGATCAAGGGTTCTATACCAACGGGCTTAGGTTTGAGGGTTTGGGCTATTGCACAGATGACCCGGACACCAAGGAAGGTGACATTTGGCTGCTCTCACAACAGATAAGTAAGCAACTTGTTTGAGCACACCATCACGGATGCAAGAACATGGATCGGCGTTCCAGTGAGTCAGCTCGGAGGGAAACAAAGCACACCGATACACAATACGACCACAAGAGGGTATGATGGCTATGAAGATGAAACCCACGAATCCGCAGTCTTTGATGATTGCGACATTTGCAAATCGTGAGAAACCTTGGGGCATCGTGATGTCGACGATGATGATGATGATGATGACGGACTGGGGCGTTGTGGCTGCAATGCCGTTTTCGTATGGAGACATTCACTGGGTGACAATCAGCAGAATCGGAAGCCAATGGCTGCGTCATTGTTTTGCACATTTCTGGTTGCGGTCGAGATCGAGATCAATCTCAAAATAACTATTTCAAAGCCCTTCTCGTGCACGACGCATGTTGGTGACCTGCCAGCAGCAAAGCGACTCACTTGAGCCGCTGCGTTTACTTAAGATTTAATCTACTTGCGGTATCTCGAAGAGGTGCCCCTATCTCGTTTGAAAATGAGCCGGGACCCTGGCTAAAACGATGTTATGTGCGGGGGCAGTACCACTAAAGACATGGCCAAGAAGCTCTTCGTCGGGCGCAAGAGGCCCAACAGTCATATCCCGCAGGGCACGTCCATGACCGTAATACCCTCGTCGCCACTGTGCAGGACCGGCGAATTCTTGCACCTCCGTCACATCCAAGCTGACAGTAACCGGGCGATCGCTGCAAATGTGGTTCTTCAAGCTTACGCCCAGATAGCCATGAAGGGACGGTTGAGAGGATACACAGTATGTACGGTTGATGCGGAAGTCGGGCATGATTAGCTTTCGGCATATCAGTGCCGGCTCCATGCTGCTTTCCACAAGCACTTCCACAGTAGAGCTGTCGCATACTTCTTCCTTGCCTTGTCGAGGTGATTCTGCAGTGTTGTGCACAACTCCTGACACTCCACGAGCTTCGTGGTCGGGTCCTTCATAATCTCTCTCAGCGCGACATTCCACCAGCCGAAAAGCTCATCGCACTCGTGCTTTAGGTGCTTCTCGACACCCCAATGTAGCGTCACTTCGCATTTATGCCATGCGACTTCCATGAGCTCGAAGCCAAGACAATTGCCGGCGCAATCAGCATGAGGTCGATTCCTGCGAGCGGTTCCGCCGCTGCAGGACGTTTTTCAAGAGCTGCTGCGCCCGGGCTGCCGTTTGATCTAAGACCTCGGACACCAAGAGAACGTAGGTTTATGTCGCCGATAGGCAAGCGAACGTTGCAATTCGTGGAAATCATTGAATTAGGGAAAAAATCCGAAACAAAAGCAAAATAAATTGAAACCGAAATGCAAAACAAATGGGAACATAAAAGGGAGCAGAAAAGGAAATACAAAAAGAAAAACAAAGGAGATGGCAAGGAAGCCGACAGCAACACCGAAGCCAAACAAAGACACCAACAAAAAGGAAAAACAAATGAACAGATGAAAACAAAGGTGAAAGAAGGGGAGAAAAGCAAACACCCGGAGAAGAAACTGGAAAAGCAGAGGACACATACCAAGCGACAATACATGCTTTTTTCCTGGATGTTTAGGCTTTCGGTGTTTTAATAGGTTTTTAATTAGAAATAGGAGAAAATAGGAAAATAAGAAAAGTTACAAAAAATAGGAACAACCAAGAAAATAATAACAAAATAAGAAAAATAAGAAAATTAGAGAATTGAGCCCAGAAAGAGGCCCAGAAAAGGAAAATAAACCGCCAACCAGAAGGAAAATTTTGCGTTTTTTTCAGCTTGAAATGTTTATTTGTCTGTTCCTTTTTTGTCGCTTTTTCGCTCCCATTTGTTTTGCAATATTTTCCGTTTTCGTTCCAATATTTTTCCTTTTATTTCCCTTTTTCATTTCCATTATTTTTGCTGTCTCTTTACATGGTTGTTTTTTGTATTCATTTTGCATTTCTGTTTGCAATATGTCTGGATTATTTTCGTAAAATAAATGTTTGGGAACCTTCCCAGTGGTAGCTTGTATCGGCGACATAAACGTAGGTCTTGCGGATCCGAGGTTGCTCCTGGCTTGATGCTGCTGCATGCTCACTGATCTCATCCCCAAACAGGGACAACTCTTTGCGGGTCGTCCCATAGAAGGATTCCCCAGTTCGGGTGCCGAGGACCGGCAGCGTCATGAGCCAAAAAGTCTTTTGAACCAAGAACCACGAACTTCATGGTTAAAGAGACAGGCCTTCTCAATGTTTCGCAAGTCCAGTCAGGAACTCAGACTTGGCAGCTCGGAGACATAGGTTCACGGGTCAAACAAAGAACTCTCTGACAAAGGCCAAGGCCAGGGCACTCAGGCACACAGTTTCCACCGCTAGCTGCTCATAATCGTGTATGCACTTCGAATTGCGCTCGTGGTGAAGCATCAGCAGCCGCGACTCCAAGAAATAGCTGGTAATTGGTTTTCGTATAATAGGCACTGACGCAAACTTTCATCCCAACACTGCTGATAAGACAAAGAGTTTTGCACTTAGGACAGCAAGGCGCAACAAACACATAAGCGCACGGGGAAACATACATAATGAAGTCAGAAGGGCCAGGAACTGAGGTAAACATGTTTCGCTGTCGGGTGCTGGATACTCTACACCTCGAACTATGAGGCACATGGCGACCTAAGCGACCACGCAGCCATCGTCTTCGTCAGCCATTGCAGCCAAACGCCGCACTTGTTGTTCGCTCCCAATCCTGCTTTGTCGGGTGGTGCGATGCGGTCGGGGTCGAAGTGAAAGGCTGGCACGGAATCCCACGCCCCAACCGATGAACCATCTGAGCGTTCAAAGACGCCATCGCCACGTACGACTTGGTTTCTTCAAGGCCAGAACCGCGCCAGAACGTTTCGACTCCAGAGCCTCTGGGCTGAGGACTCGATTATAGCTCCGTTCAGCAGCGCGTCGGTCATGTCGCAACACAGGCAAGCCACGATTACTTCAGCGATCACGAGCTTGCAAATGCCAGCCACTAAACTCACAATCACATGCTCGATAATGCCTCAATGCGTTGCATTGACAAGTCCAAACCTAGATCTGCAATTCGGGTTGCGGCCAGTGCGGCGGCAACAGCTCGACGATGACATGGGCGACCAGGCGGATTGAAGGTTGCAAACACAGATAACTCAGGCACTTTTGTTGTTTCCAATGTTTGAAACAAGCACTTGAATTCAAATTCACTTCCAAGGCACAAGTTGCTCGGAAAACCCCACCCCTGTGCTGAGACACAAAATAAACTTACAACACAAAACCCATCCCGCTTGATGTCTCGATGACTCCCAAACCCTAAAGAATGCATCAACAGTTATGACCGTAAACCCCTCCGCACAATCCTGGCAGCCCGCCCCGCCCCCCCTCGTATGGATGATGATGATTATGATGATGGTGATGATGATGATGATGATGGCGACCAACGACGATAATGAAGACGATGATTATGAACTCTGAATCCTGATGCCGACAACGATGCAACAGCTGGAATAACATGAGCAGGCGTGCTGATCCCACTCGGCCACAGTCATTAGTCATTGCGGCCGTTCCCGGTCAAAAATGATGACGGTCATGACACAAGCTTAGAGTTTAGGGTCTAGTGCTATGATATACCATGATCATCATCGCCATAGACATCATCACCAGCATTAAACCCTCAACCCTCCACCCTAAGACCTACTTATCTCTACCTACTCTCAGTGCTACAACCCGGAGGCCTTAACCATTAGAATAAGGTTTTGGGTATAGTATACTATAGCTGTAATCAGAAACCCCGAAATATTATATTCCTCAATAATTACTTGGGGTATATTATGGACTGACAGCCAGGATTCTCGGCTTCTTCGAAGCGCACAGCGGGATCGCTTCTCCTGCTATGTTGCTACGCTCGAGCTCGAGTTAAGGCGGCGCTATGAAGCGAACCCTTCCTTGGATGCAACCGCTCAAGGCTACTGAAGTGATCAGAGTAGTGGGGTACAACAAGTGCAATACAAAGGTACTGTCACCGTGAGGATACTGTAGTGGGGTACAACAAGTGCAATACAAAGGTACTGTCACCGTGAGGATACTGTACGGGTTCCAAAAGAGTAAAAACAGCATGATAAGGGTACATCAAGGGTACCCAAAAGGGTATGAAGAGGGCAAACGGGGGCTCACGGTAGAGTGGTTTTGGGCTTGTTGGTCTGGCCTAGGGCCTCGGGTTTGGGCAAAGTTGATGGTCCGGGCTTCGGAGGTTTCCCAATACCGAGAACCACACCATGGACGGTTTAGGGTTTAGGGTTTAGGGTTTCGAAAAACATCGAAACATAACTTGCTGAGGTAACCCTAACCCCCCCGGGTACCTACTATATAGGGTACTAGAGCCCCTAGGGCCCTATGTAGTAGGTACCTGGGGGGTTAGGGTAACACCCGTACAAGGAGCACAGTTTGACTAGTTTCTGTTGACATGCAGTCCCCAGACAATATCTCCTGGCCCCAAGAGGGCTTGGCCATCAGCGGCAAGCAGTGCCTCAGAAATGCTTTTCGCCAGAGTCCTTAGATGATGCTGCTGATGCGTCATTTAGGACTTTGGGTTTCTGAGTTCAGGGTTATGGCGCGGACCTTTGTCTACCATGAGGCTTGTCGTTGCTGCCCACTGCCAGGGCTTGAAAACCCTAAACCCTAAAACCCTAAAGCCCTAAACCCCAAACCCACTCAGCCCTGATTCTCCAATACGCTCTTGATTGAGAGATGCTGATGCTGGTTTAATCAGAGGAGAACCAACCACACACAGACTAAGGATTACTCCAAGGAAGGAAGGCGAGCCTGAACAATTGAAGAGGGATACCGTAAGGGTACACAGGGCTTTGGGTTACTATAAGGGTTCTACAGAACTGGAGCAGCCCAAACCCTAAACCCTAAATCCCTCAGCCCTAAGCCCCCTAAACCCCTAAACCCCTAAACCCGAAACTGTGATTTTGGCAGTCTCAAGACAAGATGCTCGTTCAAGCACAGCAGATATCGCCGACCGTCGAGGCGCACAGCCTTGTTTGCTAAGGGCGTTCGTCCTCTGTGGGCTTAGTGTGTACGGCCGAAGGCCTAGGATTTTGAGGTTGAGGGTGTAGTTTTAACCCTAAACCCTGAACCCTAAACCCTAAACCCAAACCCTATTAAGGCTTAGGGCTTTAGAGTGCAAACGGGGCGAGGTGCAAGTGAAAGCCGTTTGGGTGGGTGGCCCAAAGAGCCTCCAAAGGAGCAGCACCTGCTGAAGGTTTAGGGTTTAGGGTTTAGGGTTTAGGGTTTAGGGTTTAGGGTTTAGGGTTTAGGCCAGCAGCAGCACAAGCAGCAGCAGCAGCAGCAGCAGTAGCAGCAGCAGCAACAACAACCCCAACAGCAAGACACACAATCGACTCAAAATCAAAGCTTATGGCCGGCATGCATTACAAACTTAACTTAAGCTCCGAAGCAATCCAATCCCAAGAAACCTTCATTGTCGTGTAACAGCAACATACTAGGCGTAAGAGCAACAACATACCCCAACCCCAAAACCACAAATCCTAAAGCCTATACCCTGAACTCTCAAGCTTCTACCCAGAACCCTGAACCCTACATCCTTACCCCTAACCCCTATACCCTATTTCCTAACCCTTTTCCGGAGGACGCCTGGCGGTTCTCCAAGTACTCCACTCTCGTTGGGAGCTCTGGAGGCTCAGGACCCAAAACCTCAAGGGTTCAGGGTTTCGGATTTAAGGCTTGGGGTTTAGGGTTTACGGTTTGGGGTTCAGGGTTTATAGAGTTTATCGGGTTTATAGGGTTTAGGGATTACGGTTTAGGGTTTAGGGTTCAGGGTTTAGGTCGGCAGCCAAGCATTCGGGATAGCCTGTGTTTGCTTACGGGTTACTTCGTCCAGCATCTCGAGGGGAACTGAATCCCAGTCCTTTGGAACTTATACAGGGGTTACAGTACCCCAGAAAGGTTCAGAGCTACACTGCGAAGTTTCTTTGTGTCATGGTACAGTGTCAGGATGTCGATGATTACAGCATGATGCAACTGTGAAATCAGGGACCGTTACCGGTCGACACACCATTTGAATAACTTAACAAAGGAGTGGTCGAGAATAACAAACCCTAAGGGTCCATGTGCCCAAATAAAAATACGTTGGCCTTAAAGTAGTCGCTATATATGTACTTTGGGGCCAATGTATATCCTATATGAGTACATGGACCCTTAGGGAAATCTTTATCCCCAGGTTCTAGACACTCACAAATAGGTACCGCAGCCACACCTGACAACGACGACGCCGACACCGACACCGATGACGATGGCTACTACAGGTGCTTCTGTTTCAACCACATCTACCAAGACGGCGAGGACAAACACAAACTGCAGAAGAAGCAAACGAATAATGTCGTAAAGGTTCGTTACGATGTTGTGGTGTTCATCGTGATGCTAATTGCTGTCAGTGCTAGTACTACATGTGGATGCTCCTGTGCAGGCTTGGAGGCATCATAGTGAAAGCCCTATGCAAGCCCAAAAGTTTCAACACGTGGGTTTACAGTGCTAAGCATGAGATTTCCAAACTTTTCCAGCTGAAAGCCTGGCAAGCCCCAAACCTTAAACTCTGAACCCGCAGCCCTAAAACATGAAAGCCCTAAATCCTAAACGCCAAATCTTAAACTTTGAACCCGGAACCCTCAAAATATCTAAGCCCTAAATCCCAAACCCAAAATCTTAATGTTTGAATCCGAGACCCGAAAAGCATCTAAATCTAAGCCCTCAATCCCAAACCCCAAAATCTTAAGCTTTGAACCCGAAGCCCTAAAAACATCTATGCCCTCAATCCCAAACCCCAAATCTTTAACTTTGAACCCGAAACCCTGAAACAACTAAGCCCTCAATCCCAAACCCCAAACCCTGAACCAAAAACCCTCAAACATCTCAGCCCTAGATCCCAAACCCCAAACCCTGAACCAAACACCCTCAAACATCTAAGCCCTAGATCCCAAACCCCAAACCCTCAACCCTACGGTGATGTAAACCTAAACCCTAAACCCTAAACCCTAAACCCTAAACCCTAAAGCCCTAAACCCTAGACCTTCAACCCTAAAACCTTAAACCCTAAAACCCTAAACCCTAAACCTTCAACCCTAAAACCTTACACCCTAAACCCTGAACCCCAAACCATTTCTTCGGGGCCTTGGCCAGGGCAGCGGCTTCAAGCACAAGAGCGGACGACAGCCAGAGACAGAGACCTTTCCAATCTTTGGCCTCGGCCAAAGCTCGTTTTGGGGGCTTTGGGTTTAGGTTTTGGGGTTTAGAGTTTAGGGTTTTGGGCTGTGGGTTTGGGGCTTTGGGTTTAGAGTTTCGGGGTTTGAGCATTTATAGGGTTTATAGTTTACAGGGCTTCGGGTGTCAGGGTTTAAGGCCTAGGGCTTCAGGGTTTAGAGGGTTTATAGGGCTTAAGGTTTCAGGGTTCGTAGGCGTGAGGGTAAGGGTGCGGGTCTTTGGCTTAGGGCCTTAGAGCTTTAGGGTTCAGGGTTGAGGGCTGAAGTCTGACGGCTTACGCTGGGATTAAAGCTTCAGCGTGCGGCTGGTAGGACGGCCTGTGGACCCAAAACCTAGAAATAACAATGGACTCTATGCCCGCGGAACTATGGGCGTAGCCCTCAAGTTAGTAGGTGATTGGAGTCGCAGGGTTTCTGAGGGAGGCTAAGGGCTAAAGCTTAGGACTTGGAAAGGGGTTGAGGGATTAGGTTTTGCGGCGTTTGAGGTTTAGGACTCATGGTTCAGGAAAGAGGGTTTACGGTTTAGGGTTTAGGGTTTAGGGTTTAGGGTTTAGGGCTCAGGGTCGCGATGTACGTGTTGGGTTCTGGATCTCAGGTACGTGGCTTGAGGTCAGAGGCCGGGAAAATGTCAGTGCTTATGGTTTGGCGCCGGCAGGTGCAGGGTTGAGGTTTAGGGTTTAGGGTTTAGGGTTTAGGGTTTAGGGTTTAGGGTTTAGGGTTTAGGGTTTAGGGGAATCGTGGTTCAGGTTGTTGCGTGGTTCTGCAGACACAAGCATGGATTGGAGTCATGGCTTGTTGGGAAAGGATGATTTTAACAAAACATGGGCTCTTAAACGACTGCAAGGCGGCGAGGCTAAGACTTTAAGACTTTAAGAGCCCACGTTTAAACAAAAAACTATGTCGGGCCAGACCTAGATGGGAATAGACCAAGGAGCCTCGTGCTGAGAGAAGGTATCGCACGCTCCAACCCCGCTCATGCGCAAGAGCTCCACCAGCATGCGCTCACGACACGGCCGTCCCCGGCTGTTCACATCCACGTCTTCCGTCCGCATCCGATGCTCCCAAGCGTCGATGTCGCTACTTCGCCCGCAGAGAGCAATGCAAATCTTCCGGCGCGGAAGTACCACACCTAGGTTGCTTAATGGACTTTACAGTGAAATCGGGAATAACAGAAACAAATATTGTGGATATCATACTGCTTCCCACATTGGTACTCAGACCCCTGGGGCACGCTTCAATGAACAGATTCAGCACCACAAACCCTTAGCCCCAAACCCTTATATAATGAGTCCTGAACAAAAAGGAGCTACAACGGAGACTGCAGATCCCAGAGAGCCCAATACCCCTTAATTAAGGAATATACCTTAAATCATAATATTAAGGCCCCTATAATTTAAGGTATATTCCTTAATTAAGGGGATTGGGCTCTCCGGGATAAAATGCCCAAAATGCCCAGGCACTGCATCCAGCGAGGCCGGCGCCAACAGCGAGGTCTCGGATGCGGGAGGCGTAAGCTTGCGGCAAACCATCCTGGGCTCAGTCTTTGGGGTCTATTCGGTTTAGAGGGTTTAGGGTTTGGGGTGTAGGGTTTAGGGGGTTTAGGGCTTATAAGGGTTTAGGGTTTAGGGGTTTAGGGTTTAGGGTTTGGGGTTTAGGGTTTAGGGGTTTAGGGTTTAGGGTTTAGGGTTTAGGGGCTAGGGTTCATAGGCCCCATAGTTGTTCCTTTTTGTGAAATTGTATTTAGGATCATATTTGGTAATTAATCCCAAAAAAGGAACTACTATGGGGCCTATGGGTAGTTTAGGTTTATATATGGGGTTTAGGGTTTAGGGTGTATAGGGTTTTATGGGGCTTAGTTTAGGGTTTATATATATATATATATATGAAGTTTAGGGTTTTAGGGTGTTTTGGGTTTTTAGGGGTTTAGGGCTTCAGGGTTTTAGGATTTATGGGGTTTAGGGTTTATGGGGTTTAGGGTTTTAGGGTGTATGGCGGTTTAGGGGTTTAGGGCTTATGGGGTTTAGGGTTTTGGGGCTTATGGAGTTTATGGTTTTGGGGTTTAGGGGGTTTTGGGTTTTGGGGCTTGTGGGGTTTAGGGTTTTAGGGCCCCTTTTACCCTGGGGCTCCAGTTACTTGAATAATGGGTTCCTAACCAGGACCATACATATACTATATAACTTATAACCCAGTAACCCAGTATGTAGGCAACTAGAGACCTAGGGTTAGGCAAGAAGTCCTATAGGATTTGATGTGGCTTTCTGGGGTTCTTTATCTACCTTGATGAAGGAATATAGCTTGTACATCCCTGAACCCTGAACCCCTCAACCCTAANNACCCTAAACCCTAAACCCGATTCAAGCGAGGGGGGCGGGGCTCTGTGGGCAGTAATTATCAGCCCTCGAAGCCCAGTCTGGATGTTCATTAGGCTTTTATGTGGTGCTTCTGATTGTCAAAAGAGTTCTGCAGAGTTTTTTTTATAAAACTTAGCTAGAGAGCTAATAGAAGTCCCAAGGCACCCGGAGACGATTATTACATGAAGGGAATAGAATACCCCGAACAAGCTCATGGTTACTTACCCTACGACTAAGATCTACTAAATGTAAGGGTTTTTATCAGGGTTCTAATAAGGTTCAACGGGGCTTCAGACATGTTTCCTAGGTTAAGTTGTACTGACACTTGAAAACCCGTTTCCTGCCGAAAAATGGGGACATGCCATGCTAACTTCCTTAACGGGAACCCAGCATCGTGGAGGCATTTGACAGGCCAGTCCAGGTGGAACAAAGCACGACTGCCAGAGGTGGTCTGTGGAGTGCGCATCTTCGCTCGCAGGTCCATGAGCAAAATACCCAGTCGGTTCTCGCCCTTCTGGGATGGGATGTGATATCCCCAAATCCTGGGTGGTTTAGGGTTTAGGGGTTT